TTTTCATCCTAGTACAAATGATTTAAAGTATTCAATATATTATTGACCTGTACTATTACTATACATGTGTTTTTTTCCAGACAATATCATTTTAAGTTAATTACAAAAAACAAAACTTTAAAACCACTATATTTTGTAATTTATGAAACTTTGGACATCACATTTTTCATGTTGGATTTAAGATACAAACGACTACAACACAAGTTGAATAAGGATAATTGCATTTAAATCAACCTTAACTGCAAACCCAACCTTCCTCATATGAACATATATGTCAAACTAAATTTTTGAAACAAATATTTAAATAAAAATTATAAATTAGCCACAAAGGACAGAGATTGAGAACAAATTATAATTATGTTTCTGACTGAATTAAGTTACAAATGACAAAGATTGGGAAAGGATAATTGGTCGCAAAGCATATTTCAAACAAGGTGAGAACAACACAGCCATGATACACAAATCATTGTATATAAAATTAAAGGCTATGTTTTAGATTATAAACTTCCACCTTTAGAGTTGGAATTAGACCATCATAGTGCTGAAGAGGATGAAGTGGTTGTGTGAAAAATAGAAGGATTAATAATGCGTTGAAAAATGACGATGAAGTTAGAGTTGATATAATTCAGCCTAGACGATGGTGGAAAATTATGAAATTAAAAGTTCAAAAATAAAAAATATATTTAATTCTAAAATTAATATATGTTAACTCACATTTTGCACGTTGAATGACATTTTGGTGTTTAGGAAGAAGAACAAGTTCTTCCTCCAATCTGCATCTATTGACGCTACCAATGCATTATTCACTCTAATATTATTTCATGGATATCTACAAGAAAAAGGCCAAATCGATACGGAAAGAAAGTAAGAATAGAAGATTGTGTCACAAAAATTTCAAACCTTTCTTTAAATTTTGTTTCTTTAATTCAAATTTCAAATTCTTTGAAATGAAGAATGAATTAGAAAAATGGAGAGAGATATCTTACCCTTGAGTTGATGAAAATAATATGTCTCACGACTTACTTTTGGATTTTGTACTAAAATTTCAATTCGGTTTTCATATTTTAAATAGTTTCAATTCAATTTCTTTTAATATGTAATAAATAAATCATTTGTTAATTTGATAGAAACAACATCAAGACTTTGGTGAGTTGTAATATGTAATAAATAATGTGTTATTTGGTTGAATAATTTAGCTGATATGTTCACTTGTCTACTTTTAAGTGATTGGTTTATTTGTCTTAATGTTTAAAGATTAATTGGTTTCTTCTTTCATTGAAAAAGGAATGTTCCTTTTCTAAACTTGCTAATTGTTAAAATTCATAGATTTTTTTTATTAATTACTCCTACTAGTTTCAACTCTTTTCACAATTTCTGTTTTTAGTTTACTCTCTTGAAATTTTGAAATTGGATGATATGTTTCACTATTGTGAGTTTTGTAGGTTTAGGTAGTATGAAATGAGCCATTTACTTAGTTGAAGCCCTCTCCGTTGTTGATACTTGACATTTCCGAGAGATTTTCAATTTTCTCCCAATTCCTGCATTGTACCTTTGTGTCTTCTGATTCTGTATATTATCCCTTTTTTCTAGAAATGCAACACCGAATCGCCCACCATATCAAACTCACCTCAATTACCATCAACCTTTGATCATTGATGAGCGCTAAATGTCTGTTGAAAATCTCGTCCCCTGAATCTCTAGCTTTGTTGGTCTTGTGTTAGTCTTTTGTTGGTCTTCAAAACCCTAATTAACCATGGTCACTATGCAACAAATCTCTAATTCTTATGCTAACTAAATTTTGCAATTAACCAATAGGGTTAAATATGTTTTTAGTCCCTTAAGTATCAGACGATTTTGTTTTTAGTCCCTACTCAGAACTTTGATGATTTTTAGTCCTTATTGTTTTGAAACACTGACTATTAGTCCTTAAAATTGGACGGTGTTAAGTTTTAGTGGATGTGGCAAACGGCGATGCCACGTGATCACTGATCTGCTCTCTTCACTCTCTGCCACGTGATCACTGCTTCAGTCTCTGCTCTCTTCCATTCCCTCACTCTCCAACCCCACCCAAACGCTTTTTCTTCAGAATGTTTAGGGTTTCTTCATCTTCGTCAACGATCGTCTACACTTGAGGGTTTTAGTCTTCCCAATACAAACAGGTAGGTAGGTAGGCAGGTTGTTTCTCTTCTCTATGCTCTTCTATCTCACTCATTCATCCATTCAATCATTCACCTCCTCTCTCTGCACCATTGTTATGTAATGTGATTGTTTCAATTGCAGGCTGAGGGCGTGAATCGTGATCCTTTGGAAGGAAGCACACTACACAGGGCAAGCATGCCAACATCGTGGGCTGATTTGGCTGCAAATTCCGCCTCTGAAAATGCGGGAACATCCAACTCCACAGCTCTGACGCGGCCTGTTTATGTGCCTCCGCATCTGAGAAACCGTGTAGCATCAGCATCAGCATCAACGGAATCCCCCCTGCTCCGCCCAATGTGAGTTCTAATAATAATGTCGGATCACGGTGGGGTGCGCCCAAAAACGGTTGGGAGAACAGAACCGGTGGTTGGGATCGGCGGGAAGTGAACCCCTTCGAAGATCAGAAGGATGCAGCTGAAGAGGAAGCAGCAACTTCTAGCGAGGAGCAGGGAAACATGGGAATTAATTTTGATGCTTACGAGGACATTCCCGTTGAGACGAGTGGTGAAAACGTGCCCCCACCTGTGAATACTTTTGCGGAGATTGACTTGGGCGATGCTCTTAATCAGAACATTAGACGCTGCAAATATGTTAAACCAACGTCGGTCCAGCGGCATGCCATACCCATATCCCTTGGCGGGCGGGATTTGATGGCTTGTGCTCAGACTGGTTCCGGAAAGACTGCAGCATTCTGTTTCCCTATTATCAGTGGCATTATGAGAGGTCAAGGGCAGGCCCCCCTACGGCCCCCTCGCGGTGCCCGTACAGTCTATCCATTTGCCCTTGTTCTCTCGCCGACTAGGGAGTTATCCGTGCAAGTCAGTACTTTCTTATTATATACACTCTTCATCTCACATGCTTCCTCTCTTTTTGATTCCCTCCACTGCTCTGCCCATCTATATGAAATATATCGTCTTTTCGTTCCTTTCAGATACTTGAAGAGGCTAGGAAGTTTTCATACCAGAGTGGGCGCGTCGTTCTGAAGAAAAAGCGTTTGGGTGGGGTTGGAGAGTGAGGGAATGGAAGAGAGCAGAGACTGAAGCAGTGATCACGTGGCAGAGAGTGAAGAGAGCAGATCAGTGATCACGTGGCATCGCCGTTTGCCACATCCACTAAAACTTAACACCGTCCAATTTTAAGGACTAATAGTCAGTGTTTCAAAACAATAAGGACTAAAAACCATCAAAGTTCTGAGTAGGGACTAAAAACAAAATCGTCTGATACTTAAGGGACTAAAAACATATTTAACCCTTAACCAATATTCAATTCCACATAATAAAATAATCAACATCATCATGTTCATTCTACACCCTCGTTAACGTTTACACAATGTTAACTATTTGGGTCACATTTTCAAAAAAAAAAAAAAAAAGAATCCAATTGAGACTATTTAAAATCGAAGTGAAATGATAGTATTCTCCAGGTAGTAAAAAACATATAGATGTCACTGTATGATCACTGGTCAGCCAAGGATCAGGTAGGTCGACCATTCAACAAGAAAATGATCGACTGATTTAAAATAGTCAATAATGACAATTAATCTGAGCAATAAAGGCCACTAATGGACGGTTAATGAAAATAATAATCATTGATTGACAATTAATAAGAATAATATCATTTATTGATAGTAAATGAGTTCGACCTAATGTAAACTCAATATAATATATGTTTGGTAAAATAGGCAGGGAGGGAGACTCTGATTACTCATTCTTATTATAGGACTTATTTGAGTAAATCATTGACTTGAGCGTCGGAATGTCTTCTGGTACCCTCCTCTACAGCTAGGACAAGGAGAAGAGAGAGGATAGCGCAACTGGATGATGAACAGAGAACTCTGAATACTTTGGGTTAGGAGTTTCAACCCTAACAAAACATTTTGGTGCCTGGATCTTCTTTGAAACGTTGGGGTAGGGAACTAATACTTCCTTAATAATTCCAAAGTTAAAAAAAAAAATCTCTTCCAACTCTGAAGAATCCCAATCTTTTGATTTCACAAAGAAGATCCCTTCAATTTCAGTTCAAGCTTTTCATTTTACCATTCATTTGAAAGGGTTCATTTTAATTAAAAGGTTCCAAAGATTAAAATGTTAAAACTGATGTTGCATTTTATAAAATAATTAACTTTTATTCAAAAAGTTATTTTCAACCCCTAATATACATGTGTCATTCTACGTGTAAACAGGACAAATATTTAAGTGCAACACAATTTGTTACGTGAAAAAAAAAATTAACAACATTAAGAAATTAAAACCATTAATTTTGAAAATAAAAAGCCCAAACATATTTCGAACATGAACAATTTACAATTATATATCAGCCTTTTTATTTTTATAGAAAACTAAACTTGTACGTGTTTCTTTCTCTTTTATTTCTTAGAAGTTAATTTGTACTTTCTCGTTAATCTTGCTTAAGCTTTCACATAGTCATGTGTTTGCAAACTTCTTTATTTCTAATTTGGATCACCACCGCAATCCATTTTATATGTTCTAAATATCTAGAGATGTTATTTGATAGAAGCCAGGAGGAAACTAAAAAACTAAAATATTTCATAATAATATTATGTTCTTTGCTTAAGATTTTCAAACATAGCCCAAAGAAATACCCAAATTCGTAAGGCTAACTTTCACGTAAGAAAATAATTAAAAAGTTACTTAATAATAACAACTCATGGAAGTTCAGAAATGAAAGTCACTGTTTAAAAAAAGTAACAATGGGTGTGGGTAAGAAAAAAAAGAAAATAAAATAAAAAGTTTTCCCTCCAAAAATATATAATAAAAGAGAAAACGTGTCCAAATTCCCTAACCAAACGTATAAACAAACATGTGAATGAATGAATCCTCGAAGGGTGCAGACAGGGAGAAGCTCCGATCAGCCGCGGCTGGGGACGGGTGGGGGGACGGGAGGGACGTTGACAGCGGCGCGGAGGATGGAGAGGAAGCCGGCCGGCTGGGTGGAGTCGCGGTCGTCGAGGAAGAGGTCCTCGGGAACTCTGAATGCGGCGTGGGCGGCGACGAGGGCGATGGAGACGGTGAAGGCGGTGACGAGGAGGGAGCCAAGGGGGGTGAGGAAGAGGAGGAAGAAGGAAGCGGCGGCGAGGAGAGAGAGCGTCTCGAAATCCGTGAAGGTACGGCCGAAGAGGCGGAGGGGGCGGTCGGTGGGGCGGAGGAGATAGAGGAAGAGCCAGGAGGCGAGGAGGGAGACGAGGAGCACCAGGGAGAAGGGGCTGGTTAGGAGCGACACCGCNGCTGAAGAGGAAGCAGCAACTTCTAGCGAGGAGCAGGGAAACATGGGAATTAATTTTGATGCTTACGAGGACATTCCCGTTGAGACGAGTGGTGAAAACGTGCCCCCACCTGTGAATACTTTTGCGGAGATTGACTTGGGCGATGCTCTTAATCAGAACATTAGACGCTGCAAATATGTTAAACCAACGTCGGTCCAGCGGCATGCCATACCCATATCCCTTGGCGGACGGGATTTGATGGCTTGTGCTCAGACTGGTTCCGGAAAGACTGCAGCATTCTGTTTCCCTATTATCAGTGGCATTATGAGAGGTCAAGGGCAGGCCCCCCTACGGCCCCCTCGCGGTGCCCGTACAGTCTATCCATTTGCCCTTGTTCTCTCGCCGACTAGGGAGTTATCCGTGCAAGTCAGTACTTTCTTATTATATACACTCTTCATCTCACATGCTTCCTCTCTTTTTGATTCCCTCCACTGCTCTGCCCATCTATATGAAATATATCGTCTTTTCGTTCCTTTCAGATACTTGAAGAGGCTAGGAAGTTTTCATACCAGAGTGGGCGCGTCGTTCTGAAGAAAAAGCGTTTGGGTGGGGTTGGAGAGTGAGGGAATGGAAGAGAGCAGAGACTGAAGCAGTGATCACGTGGCAGAGAGTGAAGAGAGCAGATCAGTGATCACGTGGCATCGCCGTTTGCCACATCCACTAAAACTTAACACCGTCCAATTTTAAGGACTAATAGTCAGTGTTTCAAAACAATAAGGACTAAAAACCATCAAAGTTCTGAGTAGGGACTAAAAACAAAATCGTCTGATACTTAAGGGACTAAAAACATATTTAACCCTTAACCAATATTCAATTCCACATAATAAAATAATCAACATCATCATGTTCATTCTACACCCTCGTTAACGTTTACACAATGTTAACTATTTGGGTCACATTTTCAAAAAAAAAAAAAAAAGGAATCCAATTGAGACTATTTAAAATCGAAGTGAAATGATAGTATTCTCCAGGTAGTAAAAAACATATAGATGTCACTGTATGATCACTGGTCAGCCAAGGATCAGGTAGGTCGACCATTCAACAAGAAAATGATCGACTGATTTAAAATAGTCAATAATGACAATTAATCTGAGCAATAAAGGCCACTAATGGACGGTTAATGAAAATAATAATCATTGATTGACAATTAATAAGAATAATATCATTTATTGATAGTAAATGAGTTCGACCTAATGTAAACTCAATATAATATATGTTTGGTAAAATAGGCAGGGAGGGAGACTCTGATTACTCATTCTTATTATAGGACTTATTTGAGTAAATCATTGACTTGAGCGTCGGAATGTCTTCTGGTACCCTCCTCTACAGCTAGGACAAGGAGAAGAGAGAGGATAGCGCAACTAGATGATGAACAGAGAACTCTGAATACTTTGGGTTAGGAGTTTCAACCCTAACAAAACATTTTGGTGCCTGGATCTTCTTTGAAACGTTGGGGTAGGGAACTAATACTTCCTTAATAATTCCAAAGTTAAAAAAAAAAATCTCTTCCAACTCTGAAGAATCCCAATCTTTTGATTTCACAAAGAAGATCCCTTCAATTTCAGTTCAAGCTTTTCATTTTACCATTCATTTGAAAGGGTTCATTTTAATTAAAAGGTTCCAAAGATTAAAATGTTAAAACTGATGTTGCATTTTATAAAATAATTAACTTTTATTCAAAAAGTTATTTTCAACCCCTAATATACATGTGTCATTCTACGTGTAAACAGGACAAATATTTAAGTGCAACACAATTTGTTACGTGAAAAAAAAAATTAACAACATTAAGAAATTAAAACCATTAATTTTGAAAATAAAAAGCCCAAACATATTTCGAACATGAACAATTTACAATTATATATCAGCCTTTTTATTTTTATAGAAAACTAAACTTGTACGTGTTTCTTTCTCTTTTATTTCTTAGAAGTTAATTTGTACTTTCTCGTTAATCTTGCTTAAGCTTTCACATAGTCATGTGTTTGCAAACTTCTTTATTTCTAATTTGGATCACCACCGCAATCCATTTTATATGTTCTAAATATCTAGAGATGTTATTTGATAGAAGCCAGGAGGAAACTAAAAAACTAAAATATTTCATAATAATATTATGTTCTTTGCTTAAGATTTTCAAACATAGCCCAAAGAAATACCCAAATTCGTAAGGCTAACTTTCACGTAAGAAAATAATTAAAAAGTTACTTAATAATAACAACTCATGGAAGTTCAGAAATGAAAGTCACTGTTTAAAAAAAGTAACAATGGGTGTGGGTAAGAAAAAAAAGAAAATAAAATAAAAAGTTTTCCCTCCAAAAATATATAATAAAAGAGAAAACGTGTCCAAATTCCCTAACCAAACGTATAAACAAACATGTGAATGAATGAATCCTCGAAGGGTGCAGACAGGGAGAAGCTCCGATCAGCCGCGGCTGGGGACGGGTGGGGGGACGGGAGGGACGTTGACAGCGGCGCGGAGGATGGAGAGGAAGCCGGCCGGCTGGGTGGAGTCGCGGTCGTCGAGGAAGAGGTCCTCGGGAACTCTGAATGCGGCGTGGGCGGCGACGAGGGCGATGGAGACGGTGAAGGCGGTGACGAGGAGGGAGCCAAGGGGGGTGAGGAAGAGGAGGAAGAAGGAAGCGGCGGCGAGGAGAGAGAGCGTCTCGAAATCCGTGAAGGTACGGCCGAAGAGGCGGAGGGGGCGGTCGGTGGGGCGGAGGAGATAGAGGAAGAGCCAGGAGGCGAGGAGGGAGACGAGGAGCACCAGGGAGAAGGGGCTGGTTAGGAGCGACACCGCCAGGATCAGCGAAACCACCACGTAGTAGTTCACGCGGAAGTACGAGACATTGTGCCGAACGCGCAGCGTCGCCTCCGAGAATGACATCGGCTTCGCCAGCGCCGAGCGGTCCATGAGCTCCGGCCAGGGACGGCGATGCGAGAGGCTGTGACGGAGGGAGTCCGAGAAGTAGGATATGATGGCGCGGACTGCGGGTTGCGGTGGCTGCTGTTCCGCGGTGGTGGCGGTGGTGGCGGTGGTAGTGATGGTGGATTGTGGATTTGAGACGGGGAGAACCTGTGGGGTGGGTGTAGGAGCGGCCATGTTGAAGAATATGAGAAAAAACAGTGAAGCAATGATTTCGATGAAAGGAAATGAAAATATGAAAAAGGAAGAAAAGAAAAGTGAATTATGGACTTGTTTGTTTTTGGCTATTCTAATTTGGCTACCTTCATTCCTATTCTAGAATTATTACTATAAAATACTACAAATCGTTTATTTTTAACCCAATTTTAATTATAATATCCTCTCCACTATACACTTTTTTCTATTTTTCTTGTTTTCACCATAGTTCGACAATTGTACTTCATACAGACTCGGCTATGCTCATGATATTATATCATTTTTCATATATTTTTTATGTTGTGTTTACCTTTTTCAGACTTTCTATTCAAGCAAATATAGGTTTGAGTAATGTTTAATAAAACTTATATAAATTTTTTAATTTTTAATTATATTTTATATAACTTAAATTAATTTCATTTTTATAATTAAATACTAAGTTAATGTTGGAATTTTGAAGACATTTTATTGATATAAAAAATATTTTTTTTCTTAGTACTTTAATCCTATACTTGAATTTAAGGTAGTTTAGTTTTAAGATTTTCATCACGCTTTCTTACAATACTCGTTTTAAATTTAGACCAATATCACTTCAATTTGATAGAAATTTTCAAAGGACGTGCTTGGTTTGTTCACTGTCCAGTTTCAATGGTTGAATTGAATAGGGTGTGTAAGTGTAGCCACCACCCTTAGATTGGGATTAAAATATTCATCCTAGTAAGTATTAATAAACACGGGCATTTACTCAAAATAAATATATATTCTCAAAAATATTCATAAAAATATATTTGTTTTTAGGTTTAATAGCCTATTTTGTTCCCAGTTTTGTTCAATAATGTCAATTTAGTCCCTCATTTTAAAAGTGTTTGAAATTGATCCTCTCTTATTAATTTTTGCGTCATTTCGTTAAATAGAAGCAAACGGAGTTAATAAGCTGATGATCTGGCAGTATTTAATGATAACATGTCATTACACGTTGAGGTGGATATTAAAGATATGATTTTTTTAATTGGAAAAAAATTGATTTAGAGTATTTTGATTTGTGGAAAATTAGGGCATTTCCTCATCAGAGTGGAGAAAGTACGATGGAGAAGAGACTTCCTTCTTCTATGCAATCCTCATCGGAAGAATTCATTTCCTTAGCCACCAAACAAAACCTCAAATCTTCAAAATCCTAATTCAAAACCCTAATCCATTCCATTAAACCCTCCTCTCCTCTGTGTACCTCTCTCCCTTCCACCCTCTCTGATTCCATCTCCGCCTCCGTCCAATCCTTCCAGAACCTTCTAGGGTCCAACTCGAACAAAACCATGTCTCCCCTATTGTCCTCCCTCCAAGCGTTGCCGAAGTTCCTCACGTTGCTCCGAACCTGAACCAAAATCGTTCCTGCTCTCTACTATGCTTCCCGGCATTTAGGCTGAATCGCTTGCGCTGGATCGCTGAAGCTCCATGCTAGAACCTTCTACGCCTAGATCCAGTTCATTTTGAAAGCGGAAAACCCAACGTACATGTCAGTTGACACGTAGTTACCAATGGTGCCATCGTTACGTTGAACAGCAAATTCTGGCCATCAAAATCGATCCAGGCTCGGATATTCTAGCCGGTTCACACGCACCGGCATGAACCCCCGGTGGAATTGTAGTAGCCGACATGGGTGGACAAGGTGGATTTGATGTTGTTGAGGTCGACAGTGGCACCTCAACCATGCTCAAGAACACAACCAGCGTCATCCATTGACGCACAAGAACAACAACCACAGCGTCGTCCAAAGCCCCAATCGAAAAGAGCCCCAAATTGCAGAACTCTAACCACGTAGAAACCATCCCCACCGCGAGAATCCTCATCGCGCATCAACATCATGCCTCCTCAGACCTGCAAAGCAAGAGAACCAAACCAAAACAGTCATGGATAAACGTAACCATTTGAAAATTTGGGTTGGCAAGGGCGTAAGAAAGAGGAGTTTTGGGGGTAGGGGTGGTGATACGGTGTGGGAGGCGAAACAGGGCAGAAGGGAAAGTGAGAGAGGGAGCAAGTGGGACAAATATTTGGTGGAGGAGTAGGACACCGTTGCCGATTATCCATTGCTAACTCAACATTCTTTTTGAAAGTGGAAGGCCATTGCTAACTGTCACATTAATTATAATTAAAAGTAATGAAAAGAAAAAGATTAATGCAAATTAATTATAATTAAAGAAAATACTAAACACGTCACCACACATACAATTTAAAAATGTCACGTCTTCTGCCAGATCATCCATCTTTAACGCCGTTTGTTTCTATTTAACATAAAAGACAATTTTGATGCAAAATTAAATAAGTGAGGACCAACTTGACACTTTTTTAAAACCAGAGACCAAATTAACATAATCGAACAAAACTGGAAACAAAAGAGGTTATTAAGCCTTGTTTTTATTGATAAAAATTCACTGAAAAATAACAATTTCAACCATATTTGGGTAGCATTTCCAACTCCTAATCTCCTTTGAAAATAGCAAGAATTTCTCATTAATTTTACAATAGACCACAGTGTAATTTTCTGAAATTTATGGAGACATTAACCTAATTGCGCCATTTAAAGTTCAAAGTTTCAAGTTTAACCTCTAAAAAGACACTCATCATAAGGTCAGCAGATAATGTTTGTCGAAGATAACATCATTAAATATTACGATAACACCATGTCAACAACGGGGTTGTATGAAATTCAGAGTACTTGTATATAGAGAGAAAAAAGTTCTGAAACAGAATAACGTGTTCATCAGACATCCATGGCATCTTTACCGCAATAACTCGGAATCAGAATGTAGATCCATTCCATCCAAGGTTGGAACCCTGCAGAACACACAAAACACTATCAGCATTCTGAGCAAAGAATATGTGACTAATTTATTCAATGGCATAGAAAGTTTTGGAAGTTAGCATCAAAAAGAAACTTGGTTGGATTATCAAGTATACACAAACTTATAGAGGCTACTATGAAATCTAGAATGGTGAGGATTTATTTACATGGCCTAGTGCTGGTGTAAAGCATGCAAACATTGTGCATATTCTTGACTCTGATGGGCCTAAACAAAAAGGAAGAATGGAATAAGAGGATGCAAGGTAAGGCCCTTATTTTGAGGAGAACTCTCGAGTGTAGATACTTGCCTTAGTGTCGTAAAACTTCAAGAAGTATCGCGACTTTGGAACAGACAATTTGGTTTCAAGAATTGTAGCAATGGCGGCACTGAGTTTCTTGTTGACATCAGGGTTCAGACCACCAATGGACACCAATTCACCATAAGCCGCTGGCTGCTCATTTCCACCGAAAGATATAGGTACTGATCCTTTCAATACAATCATCACATACTGAAAAAAAAACGTAAAACAGAATCGAAAAGTTCAAAGACAAACCAAATAAATAAAATGAAGAAAAATCTTACAGCAAATCAAGAAGAATACAGTAGAAGAAATAGAAATATCAAACTTGATCGTAATATACATCAAATCACAAAAGGTCCACGTTATATCATATCTATTGACTATCACTCCACCGTAGCAACATCTCCCAAAAAGCATCCATCAAATACAGAATGGAAATCACAAAATATAACATATTATATTGCTGCCATTGACAAAAAATTAATCCTAAAGGGTGTGTCACTCGATGTTGCTGAATATGTTCAACATAGAACTAAGAAGCTTAACCTGACAAATTACAAACTACAGCCAAATTAGAAACAATCGCAATATAGATATAATTCATGTAGAAAAACTAGCCTCATAACATCTTATTATCAATTTTTAAGTACGCACGAGGTATTTACTACTTTGTAATTACAATCATACAACACTAGAACCACCAACTCAATTTAATAGAAAAGAAACTACACCGAGCTATCAAAATGTTAAAAACAAAACAAAACAGAGAACTACAAAACAAGAATATGGCGATCAAGTATCAAAATATGCTAAGAAAAAGCAAGCGTTTCTATCCTTTTTCATTTCCATCTCATTCGTAGAAACAAAAATTCCATCCAGCATATTAATTTTGCACATTACGTATTACAAACACGGCGAGAGTAAAGTTGAAGTCTGAACCCAAAATCAAACCCCGGTCTCGTAACAAAAACCATGACTTTATATTCAAATAACAATGAGAAGAAGAACCCTAGACATGGAAACGACAAAAGAAAAGGGGAGAGTTTCTGAACTAACAAGCAATTTGCACATATATATATATAT